TTCTTGCGTTATGCGGGCCTCTCACTGCTGTGGCCTCTCCCATTTGCGGAGCACAGGCTCCGGACGCGCAGGCTCAGCGGCCATGGCTCACGGGCCCAGCCGCTCCGCGGCATGTGGGATCTTCCCGAAACGGGGCACGAACCCGCGTCTCCTGCATCGGCAGGCGGACTCTCAAGCACTGCGCCACCAGGGAAGCCCTGGGTTTTTTTTTAACCTCTTATCGTACCAAGATGGCTGCAACAGCTCCAGACATCACATCCCAACCTCGAAAGGCCTCATCTCCAAGCAGCCACCCTGTCCCTTCCTAGCTGAAAGTAGGACATGTCTATGCCTGAAGTAATCCGTGGCAAAGGGAATGGAATATCTGGGGTAAAGAGTCAAAAATTTGTTCCTGGGGGTTGGGAGAGACTCCATATCCTCCCATCCTCCCCACTCTTGACCGTCCCCCCACAACCTTGACTTGAACAGTAAACAGTAGGATTTTATTTCACTTTTTTTGTTTTTTTCTTTTTTGGCCACAAGGCTTATGGGATCTCAGTTCCCTGAATCTGGGCCACAACAGTGAAAGCACTGAATCCTAACCACTAGACCACCAGGGAACTCCTGAACAGTAAGATAGATTTTTAAAATTAATTAATTAATTGTTTTGGCCACCCCATGCGGCATGTGGGATCTTAGTTCCCCAACCAGGGATCGAAACCTGTGCCCCCTGCAGTGGAAGCACAGAGTCCTAACCACTGGACCATCAGGGAAGTCACCAGAATAGTGAGATTTTAATGGAAAGGAAGAGAGAATGGCTCTTCACTTTGTGATAAATGCTCTGATAACAGAAACCCAGGGCATGGTGGGAGTATTATGGAGTGTGTATTATTAGTCAGCCAAGGGTGCCATAAGAAATATCATAGACTGGGGCACTTAACCAACAGAAATTAATTTTCTCACAGTTCTGGAGGCTGAAAGTCCAAGATAAACGTATCAGCAGAGTTGGTTTCTTCTGAGGCCTCTCTCCTTGGCTTGTGGATGGCCATCATTTTCCCATGTCATCACACCCCTCTGTGTGTGTCTGTGTCCTAATCGCTACTTATAAGGACTCCACTCATTGGATTAGGACCCACTCATGGGACCTCATTTTACCTTAGTTGCCTCTTTAAAGATTTATCTTTAAATATAGTTACATTCTGAGGTACTGGGGGTCAGAGCTTCATCATATGAATTTGTGGAGGGGCAGTGGGTGCAATTCAGTTCATGAGAGAGCACCTCTGCACTCTGCGTGTCCTGTGCTGGACAGGGGAAGCCCGTGCTGACCAGCCAGAAAGGGTCCCAAACCTCCCATTGAGGACAGAGGGACCCTGGAGTGCATATGGGGAGGCCAGCTCCAGGGGGGGCTCATAGAGACTGAGGACCTGACTGGCCGAGATCTGAAAGGTGAGAGGGGTGGAACAGATAACAGGAGGGTAAAGGGGTTCTAAGATGTGGGAACAGCAAGTGCAGAGACCCTGAGATGAGACTACCTGGCTACAAGAAGGCCCTAGAGCAGAGGTGATGAGAGCAGACCTTGGGGAGGAGCCATGACCACCCCATTTTCCCACCTGAAGCCATCTTCTATTCACGCCTCTGCCTGTGGTTGTCACTATAGTTGCAAAACATTACAGAACCTGATTCCATTTGTAATTCTGCCGTTTTCTATGCCACATATGCAGAGTATCTCAGACTTGCCTCTTTTCCTCTCAGAATTATTAAAATTACAGTTCATCTTGAAATTATAGGCCCTCTGACTGCTGATAGAATTTGCCTTGGTAAGATAAGGAGAGGGACTTCCCTGGTGGTCCAGTGATTAAGAATCAGTCTTTCAGGGACTTCCCTGGTGGCGCAATGGTTAAGAATCTGCCTGCCAATGCAGGGGACACGATTCGATCCCTGGTCCGGGGAGATCCCCCATGCTGTGGAGCAGCTAAGCCCGTGTGCCGCAACTGCTGAGCCTGTGCTCTGGAGCCCGTGAGCCACAGCTACTGAAGCCCTCGTGCTTAGAGCCCATGCTCCACAACAAGAGAAGCCACCGCAGTGAGAAGCCTGCGCACCACAACAGAGTAGCCCGCATTTGCCGCAACTAGAGAAAGCCTGTGCGCAGCCATGAAGACCAAATGCAGCCAAAAATAAATAAATAAATAAATTTATTTAAAAGAAAAAAGAATCAGTCTTGCAATGCAGGGGACACTGGTTCAATCCCTGGTTGGGGAACTAAGATCCAACATGCCGGGGGCAACTCAGTCCACATGCAGCAACTACTGAGCACACACTGCAACGTAAAGCCCGTGCACCGCAATGAAGAGCCCATGTGCCGCAACCAGAGATCCCGCGTGCCGCAACGAAAGATCCAGCATGCTGCAACTAAGACCCAATGCAGCCAAAAATAAATAAATAAATATTAAAAAAAAAAAAAAGATAAGGAGAAACTGCTCGCCTCTTTCTTTCCATCTGGTGACAAGCAGAAACGAGTGGGTACCCTAAAGCTGTAACTCGCAAATATTTCTACTAACAAAAGTCTAGGGATCCTTGGCTATTCAAAGTGGGGTTCCCAGACCAGCAGCATCAAGCTCACCAGGGAGTACGAAATGTGGAGTCCAGCTATTTGGAACTGAGACAACCTTCTAAAGACTGTGATAGAGAACCAAGAGAATCACAAGATGGAATTGGGTGGAAAATAAAGAATGAATATGTGAGTCAAAAAAAAAAATAGAAAGAAATGTGAAGTTC